GATTCAACTTCCGTTTTTCCCGTGCAAATGGACCATTATACAGCTGTTTTATTTCTGCTGAGGGCAAAGCTGGGCGGAAGTTGGATTCGACGGTGGTTTTGGGTGGGCACAGTCCGATTTTGTGAGCCAGACCAGATGGAAGTGCCTCAGCAGCCGCAGGTGCCCCGTAGATTTAAGTTCCGCTCCGAAATTGTGCTAAAATCAGTCGTAAATGGTGTATTTTATTTCTGCTGAGGGCAAAACTGCACGGAAGTTGAATTTGAAGCTGGTTTTGGGTGCGTGGAACCCAGGGGCATCCAGTCAAACACTCGAATCCACCGCCGAGTCCTTGGTGTGCCACCGGATTCAACTTCCGTTTTTCCCGTGCAAATGGACCATAATACAATAGCCACCACCGCTTTGCTACACCAGCCTCCACCCAGGTTTGGTTTTGTCTTCCGAACTTTCAGATCCTAGGTTTCAAATTTTTCACTTTGAAGCTTTCCAATTTTTCACTTCAAAGGTTTTGAATTTTTCACTTTGAAGCTTTCCAATTTTTCACCTACAAGGTTTTGAATTTTTCACCTCGAAGTTTTTGGATTTCTCACCTTATTTATGGGCAGAAAATTTCTATTAAATCTGAAACATTACTGTTGAAAATGTTTTGAAAGAAATTAACATCTTTATTTGAAGTTTTTCACCATCATTCTCAGTGCAAAAAGTGGTAAGAAACTTTTGAATTTTTCACCCACTTTGGGGGCCAGAAATTTGCTGTGAAATCCGAAGAATTACAGGTGAAAATGTTCTAAAATAATTTATCAATTATGTTTCAAGTTTTTCAGCAACTTTCTGACTGAGAAAAGTGGTATGAAACTTTTGAATTTTTTAACAACTTTTTCAGTGAAAAAAACTATGTGAAATTTTAAATTTTCTTTTCAGATTTTCTCAGTCAGAAATCCAAAATGTTCATCCAGTGCCACATGCTCACTTGGTGGAAGGATGAGGCGCATGGGTTCGAGGATGAGAAGTAGACAGAGCGAGTAATCCCACATAGGTAGGTCAATGTAGTGCCAGGATGCGGTTCATAGTAAGATGACTTGTTCTTTCTTCAAAGGCAATCCGTGCGCCGCCTTGGGAGTATCGCCCGGATATCGCCAGGATGTCGCGAAGGTCGTGGAACGTCGTGGAAGAAAAGAGATCGCAATCCGTTTGGGATGGATCGAAATCGGGATCACAATATGATGGGGGCGGTGTCGTGTTTTAATTGGGCGGAACGCCGGAAGCATTTTTGAGACAAATTTTCACAAAATATTTCGATCATTCACACAAGATTCACGGTTGCATTGGCTAAACTACGCGACGGAACGAGTAAACTACGCGAAGACAACGAGGCAGGGGCATCAACTGAAGGAGAATTAGCCAAGAGAGCATACGGTAAAATGAAACAGACCTCAGGCAAGAACGGCCACCATTTGGTAGCGCAGCAGATCGTTGAACTCGAGAACGGCCTGGGACTGGGTCTTGAAGCTCCTCATGGACGAGCCGGAAACACGGACGGTGGCGCGAAGCGCGAGGGCATTGCTGGTGGTGATGCCGACGAATTTGCCCTGACTGATGCAGTACCAGAGCTTGTCTTCGGCGTCCGCCTCGACGATGGCCATCAGAGGGGCAGTAGGGACGACGATGTACAAGCCGCCGACGAGCCAGGGGCCGTGGGTGAGGAATGCGGCCGGTGCAAGGATGCCCGGCGGCGCGGCGGGAGCGGGAGCCGCGTCGGTAGTGGCGTCGGAAGCAGCGGCGGGCAGGGAATCAAGAGCTGCGCCAGAGGCAGCAGCTGCTTGTGAAGCTGTACAGCGATGTCATTTAGAAAAGTGGATCTGTATTTTCGAAAATATAGGACTTACCCTGGACCTGAGAAAGGTTGGCGACGGCGGCGGTCAACTGCTGCAGAGCAGCGATGGTATGGGCTGTGAGACTGCGTCAGATAATTGCGGTGCAGAGGAGGAGTAAGTAGCTTACCATCGCTGCTCTGCACACTGGAGGCTGCTGGGACAGATTCTGTTCCAGGAGCGACGGGAGAAAAAGTGGTCATGGTGGGAGGAAACAAGAGGAATGATCCTGTGGACGAGACAGATCGCGTCTTTTATAGGGCGATGATAAATTCGGACTCCGCGCGTGATGGTTGCACGAGGATATCTGGACGTCGAGATAAGTGAGAGGGAGACTAGCAAAAAAATAATGAGAACAAACAAAGTTACCTTGTGACGCACCACAAATAACTACCTACGCTCCGGCAGTGAGCAAAAAAGACGTGTGAGTAACGCCGTGGAGTAAGACAGAGTATGTGCTGATACGAAAGGCAGGCAGGAAGAGTAGTTATGGCGCGCAGCGGCAAGAAGCGCGAAAATCCGCGAATTCCCAAATCGGATCGCAAAAATCTGCGACTGTGGGCAGAAGGTGTCCGAGAGAGAATCCTTCGCCCTCATATTGATGGGTACGCTGCAGCATTAGACCAGGGATGGCGGCAAGAGCGAAAGTATTGCAAGAAAGTTTGCTTGGAGTTTCATGCACGAGTGAGTTGGGAGACAGAAGATCACGAGGAGCCCGTGCTAGACGAAAACTGGGATCCAGCCTCAGTGACAAAGAAGAGCCTGCCCTTGCCAGAAGAGCAGGAGAAGAGAAAGCGAGCGCGAATGAAGATTCTGGATAAGGTGAGTCACATGATTTATACCTCTTTCCTTTTTTTGACGCTCATGGGCGCTTCCAGCGAATTCGTCGTTGGTTCACGTACCGTATCCGCCGCATCCGCAAGCATCGTTCATCAGCTGGTCTAGATCCCACAAAAGACCCCTACGCCGTACTCCTCGCTAAGCTCTCTGGTTTGTCCGCGCCACCCAAAGCAAGACAGGCGTTTCAGCAGTGGATGCGCGAAACGCCCAAGGAAGAGTTCGAGCCAATCGTGCAGGAAAGGTGGGAGAAGGAACAAGCCGACGGCGGGGTGGTTGGTTCGCGGACGAAGACGCCCAAGGTCGGCTTCCGGGCTGGTGTTGGGCGGTCTCTCTTCAATGCACTCCCCGCGTCAGAGCAAAAGGATATCGGTGTTCGGGCCACGAAGGAGGCCACCGAGGCGAAGGAGGAGTACGTGAAGGCGCTAAAAAACCCGCCATCTACAAAGCCCGAAGATCGTCAGAGGTAAGAAGAGTCCTTCACTCGTCGAAATTACTTCAGCTAAGGCTTTTCATTGAGATGTATCGACGCTATCCCCGACTTCGTGGGTCCTATTCTGCGGGGGCTCAGCGAGTACACTGGAATGCATGCAACGCTTATAATGGGCGGGCCTATGCCCAAATATGGCGGAGACATTAGGACTGTCCAGTAAGTTCTTCGCGACTAATCGACTTGACTCTCTAAACTTATCCGGATCCATTTAGCACGTCCTACGGACGCAACAACGCCGCCCTACCCGTGCACTGGGCTCAATGGGACAAGACTCGATTCCAGCGCCAGGTAGCAGACTTCATGATTGAGTTTCTACAAACTGCATACCGTACGTGAGCTATTCGTGCTTTTTTTATTTTTTTTTGCCCAGCTGATGCGTCTTCTGACAGGACCGGAGGAGTGCGCTGATGCCGCTCTTACAGCTGTCAACGCGCTGTCCGCCGCAAAGTATCGCATCGACGAGTCAAAGCAGGATGAGTCCGACTCAGACTCATCCTCCTCCTCTGGGTCTTCGTCCGACTCATCGTCCGAGTCAGATTCCGACCTGGAGCACGAGGGAGGCAAACGTAAACGCCACAAGAAGAAGAAAAAGGGAAGTGATAGAAGCGGCAAGGAATTGGCAGCGGCAGCGGCAGGATCTGGTTCGGACTCCGAGTCGGAGGAGGAGGAGCGCGCGCGCGGGGGGAAGAAGCGCCAAGTCAATAACGAGACAGGGCCGACCGTACGCATCTACGAGGACGGCCTCACATACGACCAAGTCCGGGAGCGTAACATCAAACGAAACGCCGCCTCACTGGCCGCTATCAAAGCTAGCCAGGAACTCGCAGCCCCCACTCCCACTCCTTCAAAGCCTCCCCCAAAGCCCCGCGCTCGGAAAACGGACGTTAGCGCAGCCCAATGCGCACTTCGACGCGCAGCTCCGCGCATCACACGGGCGATGTAAGCTCGGCCCCATCGCCTGCGACGCAGGAATCCTCCACCTCCACCTCGCCCTCAGCACCGGCGACATCGGCCCTGGGCGCATCACTTCCCTTGACAACGGTAGTTCCACAGCCGAGCGTGTCATCTGCTTCGACGCCTTCATCACTCCCGACCCCCACCTCCCTCACCTTGACGAGTACAGTCATTACGCCTAGCATCCTCGTCCCATGCCCTCCAAAAGCGGCCGTCTGGTTTGTCGAGGCTCGAGCCGAGATGACGAAGGTCGACTTAGGCTGCCATTTCCAGGCCTTGCTCACAGCGTGGACTCGCGTCGAGGACGCTTCGCGCTTCGAGCATGGCCCCCAGAATCTTTCCACTAACGGGCGCCCGGGGGAGCTCAAGACTTGGATTTCGCGCAAGCGGGGCAAGACCGGACCGGATCCTATTGTCACCGACGCATCAGCATACGCCTCGAAGTGGCAGGGCTGGTGGGATAGTTTGCAGCCGGCGTGGCGCGTGAAGAACGAGGATGGAACCTGGGTTGCGCAGGGACCGTATGGCCCCGATGGGAAGGAATGGGGGGATTTGTATCGATGGGGTGTCAATGGTACGTTGACCATTGTCGCCTCCCTCTATTTCTGGGGTGTAGCAGTTACCAACGATGCGGATCTGCAGCCGGCATGGGTCGCTGCCGTGAACGACGTTTGCTGGATGATGGAGGGCTTGGCGATTTTTTACGAGATGTTTAACAAGCGGTTTTGATTCTGCTCTGTCCTTGTCTGAAGGCATACATACTTTGAAATCAATACAATGGGTGCCATATAATGCGGAGAAAAAAAATTGCTGAGAAACGAGTAAAAAGAAAAAATTTGATCTACGCATGACCAGGGCGGGATTCGAACCCGCGTACGGTGCAGAGAATTATTGAAGGCTACTTATAAAGAGCCGCACCCGCTGAACCACTTTAGCTACCTGGCCTGCAACGTCTTTCAGAATGGCCACTAAGTACATAGTATTTTGATCACAATAAAATGAAAAAGTTCAATTGTTGAAAAATTGACCCAAAAAACGGCCAGGGTGGGAATCGAACCCACATGATGTACAGTATCTTCTGGCGGGGCAATGAACGTACCCGCTTAACCACTCAGCCACCCGGCCTTTAGAGACCAACGTTATCAATCTAACAGGTTTGTCGCATGGCTTAGAAACGAAACTAACTAAGTCCGATAACGGTGAGGCACGGTGGGGTAGGCGGCGTCGGCACAAGTGAGTTGGACGAAATTACCCTGTAGGTAAAAATATTTTCATTTTATTTTTCATTTAGCCGGGCCGGCGGGAGAGGGGCGGGACCCATCACGTGGTGGGATTGATCGGCGGCGCGCACGGCGTAGCGGGCGCAGAAAATGGGCGCATAGGGCGCATGAAGGTTTATTGGGTGCGCATGGGTCCTCCAAATGTGCCCAAATTTTTATGGCCATTTAGGGCAGCCCCGGGTAAAATTATCCCAGGGCGGGATCAGCCCCATCAATCCCGCCGTGTGATTTGAGCCGCAGCGTGGTCGACGTAGGGTTTGTGGAGAGCTGGCGCGTGGTCGCAATCTGGCGTGTCAATACTGACACACCAGGTGGCTATGTTCTCCGGAGGTGCTGGGAGGGAGGATCCCCGGGAGCGGGGCGGGGCGGGAGCGGCGGGGGAATGTGGACCGTGGGAAAGCGCCCGATGCGGGGAAGGCGGAATCGGATGCGAGCAATTGGGGGTAGGACATCGTGGGATGATCCTGTGCGAACAAAAACAGGCGGGAAATAATTAATGCACAATGTGGATTTCAATTTTTTTTTCACATTCCCATCATACTGTAAATACATGCAAAGGGAATCTACAGCCGGGAAGGGGTCCTGCAGACGCCACACGTGCCGATTTTGCGCTGTATGGCTGCTGCATGGTACTAGCCAAGCAGTTGGCTGGGACCATGCGTTTTGAATACCAATCCATTGGCTAGCGCCATGTCTTTTTGAATATATATTAAGACTATGGCTCCAGTCGGCATGAGTCAACCATGTTTCAAGGAGGAAGTCCTTCCAGTCAATGGAGAAAAGACCAGCCTGCCGAAGTCCTTGAGAAGACGCTGGTGATCGTATCGAGGATCAAACTGGCATTCAACCACAGAACACCGCCACACCACTCTTTAGATCTCCCTCGACGGCGGACGCGCAGTGACTCCCGTTCTCAACACCGCATCTATACATCGACTAAGGCTTACCAGAATACTTAGATTTCCGAATTACCTGGACTTTCTAGAGCCTGGCATAAATTGCTGTCTCAGACAAGTCTCAGACGTTTGGTTGAATGTCCGCTAAGTCCGATGTATTTCAACTCCATTCGACCAGTGTCTCTGAACGCCCATATGGCTTGAAGAGGAACGGTTGCGCATTCCGCAAAGACAATTGATGACCGCAAGATAAGTTGAAGATATTGAACTTGAAAATCGAGATGCAGGGGTAGGTATTTTGAGTACATGCAACTTCTTCGATAAATAGTTCAAGTTCCCCTGTAGTTCGGACCAAGCTTGCGGAACATGGAACTTTCGAGAATAATTTGGAAAACTCAGGACTGGCACGCAGGCAAAATCGCCGATACGGAGCATACAACCATTATTCCCGTCGGTCGTTCAGGTGAAGGTACACTCTCTGGGGATCCGGGGCTTTGCGTACAATTATGTATGAGTAACCCTAGGCCCCTCGCGGGTCTTCCATTGCGCCCGACTGCGGCAAAATATTGCATATCTCGGGTGCCGCGGCAGGCTGTCCATCGTGCTTGCGCCGTAGGCGACCGCGTCTCCTGCATCGCGCTGCGATTCCCACCGTCCGAGTCTCGAGTTGCCACTGCCACCAGACCCCGCCACCAGTCACCGTTAGCCCAGTACCAGCCGAGGTGGCCGCCTTTGTCCGACCGTGTGCGGCGCGATTTGATTTAATTTCAGGATTGGTTTCTTTGTCTCCCCCACGGACCACGCGCTCATTCTGGATTGCCTCAAAGAACAATTTCCTATTTCGGTATTTGTTGCTGGACGCCACCAGCTGAATTTCTGCTTGCAGTATTTTCTGGCGCCCTGCTTTAGATCTGGCGCATCAATGTGTCCTCCATTGTTGTTCCTCACTGGGCCTTCAACGCCGGAGATGGCGCTTTGGTGTGCAGTATATAAGGAGTGGGTTTGCCGCCCTGCCTGCCACCGACTCCCCGACTTGCCACCCATTCCTTAGTTTGCCACCTACTCCGGTTTAATAAGAGCTTGTCTGCGACAAGTCTTTACTGTGCCACTGTATCCATATATTCACGACCAGCCCATACATACATATCACGACAATGACCATGGCCGAGCCCCTCCCGCAGTTCTCTCTTGACGACCTCCTGCACGATTCGCTCTTCGCCGAGCCCGGCTCCTACGACATGAGCCTTGACGCCTCATCTCCAGCTCCCCAGTCAGCTGACTTCGACACCATTTTCAAGGCGCTGGGTGCCATGTCGATGAACCCTCCCCCGAGAACCGGTGTGCCTGTGGACGGATGCCTGGCCCTCCAGGATGTCATCCGCGATGACATTCCCGTTTACCACCACCAGGACACTTGGGATTTACTCGAGTCGTCAGACACCCCCGAATTTACATGCATGGATCCTGCCGAATTCTACCTGGATGCGACCCCTTCGCGTGATACTACACCCGTCGCCGACATCGAATCCCCCGTCTGCGAGGACTCTCCTACTCCCACTGATGACGACGGGGACGACGTCACCCTGTCCGACGTTGACATTCCCGAAACACCCAGCAGCGACAAGTGGCTGCGTCGCTCGACACGCTGCACGGCCAGGTTATCCGCCTCACCTGATGCATCTGCTCCCGCCCCGATTCCGAAGAAGGTCAATGTGGCGCGTCCCTCGACTGTCCAGACTCCCGCTCCGAGCTCGGAAAAGCCCAACCGTTCTCGTGGAAAGAAGGCCCGCGTTTCTGCCCGCCCTGCCCCGAGCCGCACTGCTGCTGTCCCCAGCGCATTCGCGGTAAAGGCCGTTCCCGATCACTACCTGCATCTGCTCGAACTAGGATGCAAGGTCGTCGGCAAGGGCATGGTCTGTCCTGTCCCACACTGCCGCCGGATAACCGGTAACTTCGCAGACCAGGAGCGCCACCAGGTCGTTCACTTCCCCGAGTTGCGTGTTTCCTGTCGGGGCTGTCCCGGCACCTTCTCCCGCGGGGACGCTCTGAAGCGCCACATGGGGAAGAAGGGGGGGTGCAGCCACACCAGCCCCGCTCGCCGGGCATTCCTGGGCAAGTTTCAGGACCTCGCGACGGTTGCGCGGCTCAAGGCAGAGTGCCCGACTGAGGACGATGAGGCGACGAAGAAGCTGAATCTGAAGCTGTAAGTCAACCTCTCTATGTCCCCAGTTCTTCACTTGACTTATGGTTATTGCAGGATGGCAATGTTTGAGGATCTCTTCTCTTCCAAACGTTAAGCTGGCATTTGCTCCTCACCAGCGCTGTTCTATTCACGGCTGCCAAACTTTCATTTTCTTTCCGACCGGTCTCTTTTTACTTTACACACACCTTAATGGTTATCAGCAGCTCGTAAGTATAATTCCTGTATTGGTATAGTTCCTGTCTCTTTAGCACAGTCTTGTAGCATTCCCTCGTTTATCCATTATGCATCGCTTCCTTATTTGATCTTGGTTGAAATTGTGGCGGTGTTGTCTTGTTTGTTTCCGCCGCGGTGGCTGTGTACGAGGCGCTTCTTTTCCTGTGCATTTTTTCTCGGCCTTCAGACGAGCATCGCAGGAGCCACAAACGCTCTCATTCATATTCATCTGGTTTGTTTTTGCTCCCCGCTGGGCCTCCGCGCTCCCTAGCCTGTTTCGTTCTTGCCGTTCCAGCCGCCGTTTGTGGTCTCCCGCGATTTTTTCCTCGTCTCTGTGCTTTGAAACCATCTATGGGGTATAATATCTGTGCAATGAACGTCAGTGCTGCTTCACCCACCGCCTCTCTCAGGCAAGAATTGCCACTACTGACGATAGGTGATACCCAGACTATGGTCGCTACCGCGCAAGAACATTCTGCTTCTAAAGCTCCGGCGGCTGCACACGAAGTCCACTTCTCTCTCTCCCCAGACGTTGATTTCGCTCCGGATCCCACCCTGTGTGAAGTCGGAGACTTGGATTTTGAGATGCTGGAGCTGGGGTATCCAGACGATGGCGAGGCAAGTTTTATTCAGCCAATCTTCTGTGCTGTAACATTCCATGATAACGGCCTAAATGGCAGGAAAATGAACCAAAGCCCTTCAATGTCAACACTTCATCCCAGTATCGGATCATGTCAGGATGCCCGGTGAAAACGGAACTGCAGAATGCTGAGCCGGCAGCGAGATCCAAGCACAAAAGCCGCGCGCATGCTTCTCACTACATTTTGCAGCCGGTATGGTACTTCCCCACCCTTATACTCTGTTGACGTGAGGAGCATTCCAGGGCGTTCCACGATTCTTCTCGAGTAGCGCCGCTCTCGTAAACCACCTTCACAACCGACTCTCGGCCTTCGAGTTGATCGCTGTTGGAGATGAGCCGCGGAAGGCTGCGGTGTTTGCCTTCCACGCGGACTACGACTCGTATCCACCCCCCGGCTCGAATGCGCGGCGCCTCGCGCGCGGGGTGAGGGCGGAGGTCGAGGCGCGGTGTGGGGTGCGCTTCCACGCGGGGCTGCCAGCTGCCACCATCAAGGGCAGCGCTGGCGTCCGCGTGTTGTGGGTGTGCATGCACACGGTGAGGGTGCGATCTGAAGTCCATGTACGCGGGGGCAGGGGGGAAGCGGGAACCAAAATGGTGCGGGGGATCCTCGATGTATCCGTGCTGCTCAACGAGAATGGGTTTGGACGGTGTATGACCAGTGTGCAGTTTAGGCTCGTTGGGTGCCGAGTGTAGATAGTGCTGGATTTATTTTTCTTTTGTCGAGATTACTGCGAATTCAGAAACCCAAACGGTCTCTCCGACAGTACAATGTATCAATGTAAGTGACTAAGGCTATAGCCTGACGATCGGAACTTGGGCCCACGAAATAGTGTTCACATCACAAAGAGAAATTCTACGGGAATAGAATCTGCGTAGTCCTCATCCTCTGCATG